AACTTAGAACCTTTGAAGGATTTTATGACTTATTTTTAAGAAAAGGACTTTAAAAAGAGGAAGTCCTCAGAGAAAGGAATGCTAAAGGAATTACCCAGTTTGAAAACTACTTTCCCGGGATTTGCATTATTTTCCTTAACTTTTAGCATACGCTTAGTGTTTTTTGTATATGTAATACAATGGGACCTCAAAAATTCTTAAAAATTATGTTTTAAAGTGATTCGAAATTACTCAAGTGTAACGGTTTTCCACATCTCTTGGGGATCAAGCTAGTTGAACACCCACATGTACACCTGTATACAAGTAGACAGACAAGTAGATGGATGGATAAATAAATGAATGGATGGAAAGAGGAAGAGAAGTTATTTTGCAGAAAATGAATTATACTATGGTTATTAGAATACAAAATTTGCGGTACTTGAATTTGTCAAAAAATGAAATACGGAGCTACCAATGTTGAACTGTAAGTGTTTTGTAAACACAAATTTAGTAATGTTTAAATTGCCCCTGATGACTAAGAATAAAGATTTTAAAAATATTGAGGTAGGTATAATTTTAAGTTTCATTCTTAGAATCAGCTTAGTTCTGCCATTAAGGATGAAAGTAGCACATCTGTCTTTCCCTCTTCTCTCTGTCTTTTAGAGTTTATAGCTATTTTTATTTTATAAATATATTTAAAATCTACATTCTCTTCTGTAACTGTAATCTCTGCACTTGCTTTATTGTACATTTATACTTTAGTGGATTCATTGCTCTTCCCCAGCCATTATACCATATTCATAAAATTAGGGGGCCTTTTAAAACATCATCTCTGGATTGGCTGGATTCCATCATCATATTAATGTGGCTGTATGGCTTTTTTTTTTTTTCCTGCAGGAAGATACTGAGCACACACTACCATGTACCATGTAGTGTACTCACTACACACTGATATTCCTGAACTGGGAAACTTAAAAGTGGACCCAGTAGCCATACACTGTAGTAAATACAATAACAGTGAAGCACCAGATGTTGTATGAGTTTTCAAAAGAGTAAGAAGAGTTTGGGCAAAAGGACAGAGATCAGAAACAATCATGTAGAGACACCATCGACACTTTGCCAGTCTCGGAGCCCAGGTAAGACACCACAGGGGTCAGGAAATCAGGGGAGTAACCAGAGCCTGGTCCTTGAAGGTCCTGAAACCCAAACTTTCTTCATAGACAATAGTATGATAAAACTATTTTCATAGAGTTCCCACCCCACTCCTGTCCCCACCCTCAGTTGTTTGCAGTCAGACTTCTACTGTCTTTTGGCCTGGATCTTTCCACGTGTCCTTTGATCATGCCATTGGGCGTTGGCTCTGTCACAGAGCTGACTTTTCTAGGCATGGTCCTTCCCGCACATGTTTTTCTGAAAAAAATTTCTGACACACATTTGACAATGTCTGCCCATTGCTCTTGCACTTCCAAACAACTTGTCTACAAGTACTGTCACAGTTTCACACCTTCTTCCCTTCCGTTATCTGCAGACCCAATTCTACGATTTTCAAACAATAGAGGTCACTTTCTGGAATGGGGAAGCCCGCTTCAGGTTTACCCCTCTCAAGTGACTTGCTCCTTCTCTTAAGATACCTGAAGGATTTTGCTTATTCCTTTTATCCTTTAAGAGTATGTATGTATCTTATACTGTTCTATACACATCTCAACCTGGGGGTCATAAATTCCTCTAAGACTCTTTTTTTCTGGAAAAAATATGTACTTTTCCTTTGTGGTTTCCAATATTTCTGTATTCTGGGGCTATTTTACTGTATTATACCTTGAATTACTATCTGGTTTATTTGTTAGTTTCTTTATAATTGTATCATCATTTAGCCTTTTTATTTCCATTGTCTTCTAGTTACACATTGATCTCTTCCCTTTATTTTTTTTAAATGTTTTTAACATTTTTTTATTTTTTATTGAGAGACAGCACGAGTGGAGGAGGGGCAGAGAATGAGGGAGACACAGAATCTGAAGCAAGCTCCAGGCTCTAGGCTGTCAGCCAAGAATCCGAGGCGGGGTTCAAACTCCCAGACTGTTAGATCATGACCTGAGCCAATGTAAGAGGGCTCAACCCTCTGAGCCACCCAGCCGCCCCTATCTCTTCCCTTGAAACTTAAATCAAAATGCTGGTTTTTCACTTGGAAACCTCATGTCTTTATGCTTCTCCTCTGTTTACTGATCCTGTTTTGACCTTGTGTAGAGTCTTTGTTTTGTCCTCACCTCTACATTCTCCATTTGGATACGTTTGCATTGACATGACTTCTCGTCTTAGAGCTCTCATATTCTTAAATCTAGCTGTTTAAATTCCACATCATGGAGAAATTTCATGTAAATGTTCTCCTGTTCCTTGGGTTATGTTTACTGTAAGACTAAGGATCGTTCCTTTATTTTGCGCTGCTTTGTTTTCCTCAATAGACATACACTGTTCCTGTGCCTTTCTTCCCCTATTGCTCTTGTTTAATGTGGGATGTGAATTTTTCCCTCCATACGATTTACTGTAGGTGAATGGACTCTCACATGCTTTGTGTTTTTCTGGCTGTGGTAGCTGATATATTCACTCTCTCTGCCCCTTGAAGAACATGTCAAATCCCCCCCCACACACACACACATACCCAATCCCTAGAACTTCTGACTGTGTTACTCTAAGTGTCAATAGAGCCTTTGGAGAAGGGATTAAGTTAATAATTTTGAAATGGAAACGTAATTCTGTATAAACTGTGTGGGATTCATGGTATGACAAGAATCATTGGTATGGGAGGCGGGAGGATGATAGAACAGAAGTGAGACAGTGGAAACAGATACTGAAGTCTTATGTTTTTGGTTTTTTAATGTTTCTTTATTTTTGAGAGAGACAGAGCACAAGCAGGGGGTGGGGGCAAAGACAGAGGGAGACACAGAACCCAAAGCAGGCTCCAAGCTCTGAGCTGTCAGCACAGATCCCTATGTGGGATTCGATCTCACAGACTGCAAGGTCATAACCTGAACTGAAGTCAGATGCTTAACAACTGAGCCACCCAGGTGCCCCTGAAGTGTTGTGTTTTGAAGATGAAGGGAGGGAGTTGGATGCAAAGAATTCAGGCAAACTGTGAGCTTAGAAAAAAAGAGAGAGCAGAATCTCCCCTAGAGCCTCCATAAGAAACCGATCTTGTCAAAACCTTGATTTTAAGTTGTAAGGCCCATGTTGAACTCCTGACCTCCAGAACTGTAAGATCATATATTTGTATTTTAAGCCCCTAGGTTTGTGATAATTCGCTATAGCAGCAAAAGGAAACTAATACAGTAAAGGATCTTCAGGACAATGTATTGTTTTGAATGGGATCTAGACATAATCTGAGACATTTTACTTTTAGGTGAAAGTATTCTTTTTTTTGTTTTGTTTTCCTTCCAAAAAGTATTGACTGTTCAGTTCGTAATTCTCCGTAGTCACAAGCCTGTTCAAGGAACTACTTGCGATTATTTTATTGCATTCTATTTTATTTTTATCTCTGATCACCAGTCACTTCCTGACATTCTTCCGTGTAGTCACAGATTTTTAAGGGGCAAGACTTCAACCCTGGGAAATGAATTTTGTTCTATGTACCTATCATACTTTGCTCGCCCTTTCCTCTTGAGATGGTAACTAAGCTAAACTAAAATTATATCTCCCTGCTAGTATAAATAACACCATGTGTATCACTCTTGTAATGACCTCGTTATGGAATGAAATTGTAAGCTCATGGATTATATGCTTATTTCATTTTACAAAATGTTGGCTAATTGTTCCTGAATGGGGCTACTTAAGTCATTTTAGATCATGAGGATGCCTTTTTTTCCCCCCCCGGATCTTTATACTCATTTGTATGGTTTGACCTATTTTTTTTTTTTTTTTACCAATATGATACATGTAAAATAGTATCTAATTTTTCCTTTCACCTTTTGTGATAGCTGCCAAGGCTGAGCATTTCTTGATCAATGTGCCTGCCATTCAGTGGCTATAAGAGGCTGAGCCCCTAGTAAGTGAGGGGAATATGCAGAGGCAGCACCTACTGGGGTCAGAGAAGACTGAAGGAGGCCATAGTTTACGGCCTGGGTCAGGCTCAGCTGTTGACGTGGAGGTAAATACTGATTTCCCTTAATGGAATGAGTCTATGCCATGGTTGATGAGAGACAGGATGGAGTTGATCACAGAGTTAAAACCCTGTAAAGAGCCCAGCTGTTTCCAGAGGACACAGACTGGGGCCTGGAACAGAAGCCTATAGAACGAGACCTTCACGCTTGAGAAGAACAAGCTTCATTATGAGGTCCAGGAATGTCAGTGTAATCCAAGGGTTTTCCTTTCCCCAAACCTCTGGGGGATCTAATTAGGAAAAGAGTAGCAAAAAACACAGTGGTTTGTTGTAAACGTACATGAGACTGTTCCCAGTAGTGGGGGGGAAAGTCCATATATTTTAGGGTTGTGTAGAAGTATGTATTGTCCTCAAATCCACACTTATATACCCATGTATGCTTCACGTTGAACTGTTTCACATAAGTTAAATAGTGCTGTTGACAAGATCTAACGTCAACTTTCTTGTACCATTCAGGGCTAGCTCTCTAAGGTACTATTTTCTCTTCCCCGGTGGAGATTTAGTAATGTGGTTCCTGTGACCCATCAAAGGATGTTGTTTATTGGATTCAAGTCACCTCTAGTTTTGCTATCCTGTGCAAGGTACACAAATTCAAGTCAATGACAGGGTTTCCAATGGGTGAAAGCAATCCCTCGAGTCAGTGGGGCATGGCGCTCCTTCAGTCCTGTGAGGACCAGCTGGGTCCCTGGGGCGCAGTGATGTAATCCATAGGTCACAGAACACTGATGCTGGCTTCCATCATAATAGGCCTACTGGTATCCTGAGTGCTGGTCAGGAGAGTGATTCAGTGAGGACGTAAGTTCACCAGTGGGTTGCTGTTCTTGAACGTACTGATTTGATTCTTTGCTATTCTGTACTGATTCTCTGAGAACAGAATTTCAGAGAGAAAGATATTGATTGGAGTCACTCTGAAGAGAAGCACCATGAAGCGAAAACAAAAAAGGAAACATCTGGAAAGCACATACTCCACCCAAAGTTTCAAGAAGTCAAGAGGTATGTGTTAAGCATCTTCCTGAGCATTGGGTATCATGGATAAGGGATAGGGGCACCTGGGTGGCTCAGTTGGTGAGGTGTCCATCTCTTGATTTGGGCTCAGGTCATCATTTCGCGGTTCATGAATTCGAGCCCCATGCCGGGCATGTGCTAACAGTGCTGAGGCTTCTTGGGATTCTCTCTATCTCCCCCTCCACCTCTTTCTGTCTCTTCCTACAAGTAAATCAACTGAAAAACAAGAAAGAGGGTGAGAGGATCCCTAGCTGTGGTAAGGTAGAGGAGGATGGGCGGCTGGGGGAGGGATGTATAGATGCTGATTTTTCTGAAGCAACATATCATTCTGAGAGGAAAGAGAGAGTTCAGATGACCAATTCCTTTTCTCTGCAGCTTAGGACCTGTACTACTTATACCATGGCACTCACTGTGACACAGGCATAGTGGTTGAGTAGTGCAGTTCTTAAAAAAAAGTATTTTTTCCTTTGATTTTTCCCTAAGGACAATGGGTAAGTACAGGATGTTATTAGGAGTCTTCTAATCGTCCTTTATCCTATTGATGGAGAAGAAAATGTGGCTCATAGAGCTGAGGCAACAAATCAATCACTTAAAACTGGTTGTACAGGGATGAGAATATAAAGTCGGAATTTATGTATTCAGCCCTCAGACTAGGAAAATGTAAATGGAGGGCTCCTATGTGACACGCAAGAAAAAGGCAGAAGACACACACCACTGTTTAACCATAATGGTTGAACTGTGGAAAACGTTGTGTTTTTTTTTTTTTTTAATGGGAAACAAATAGTTCTGGTTACTATGGAGATGAACAGTAAATAGGTAACTTCTTTGAACTGTAGAAGAAGTTTGTGTTTTTTTGAAAAAGATGGGAAACTGAAATCGTTCTGGTTACTAGGGAGATTCACAGTAAACAAGCAGCTTCTGTGAGGGAAGACCATTGTTCCGGGGAGGGGGCCCTAGGGGGACAGATGAGAGCCACCCCCCAGAAGTTCCAAGGGATAGCTCCTCCTCTGGAAAGAACATGGCACTTGCCAACAGTGTTGGGCGTCTGTGGGGAGAGAGGGCTAGATAAGGAGTCTGTCTGCATGTCTACCGACAACAACATGAGCGCATGTTGAGAGATGTTATTAAGTGGGAACTATGAGAGCTGTCAAGCATGCACTCACAATCATGTGTTCACATATACACACATGTAGAATGTACATAAACCAGGAAAAGGTAGATATCAGTATAAAATGGTTCACTTCCTGTGTGCCAGGTCCAATTATTTGCTCTGAAGAACACGTTCCATCTCCGCTTCATGGGTTAGAGTACTTTTGGCTTTTGTGACTCATACACAAAGGGATCTATTAATTGCTTCTTTCATACTTTAGCATATATGAGAAGGAATGGGTCAGGCCTCCTGGGCTGATGGAACCTGTGCTGTCATTCACATGCAGCTTTCAACTAGACCCTGGGTTGTCATCATTCCCATCAGCTAGGAAAGGAAAGAGCGCAGAGGGACACAGAGGAGGTTTTTATAGTTCTGGCTAGGGAAGTGGCACGTGTCCTATCCACTCATTTCCGTTGTCGAAAACATCCTCGCATGGTCAGAAGTACCCCAAGAGAAGTTGATCAATCTAATCTAGTAGTAGGTCCAGGTCAAAAGGACACAGCTTACCGTCTCTGCTCCAATTACAAAGAGCCCCCTTCTAGAAAGCCAATCACTAATCATGATATAAAGACAATCAATGAACCATATTGTGCTATCCATGAAAATGAAGGCCATATTTGTTCACAAAACATGTCACGTAGTAGACTCCTCTTGTTTGTTTCATGGATGAATAAATGGACAGACACCAAACCTGGATCACATCTCTGTCATTTTTAGGTAATTTCTCATCAAACCTGAATTTGCAAAATCTGCAGCATGGACACCAGGGAATGCCCCCAACTCAAGAGCAGACTGCAAGGGGAGATTCTTCTTCAGATTGCTTCTCCGGCAAGTCTTCAGAAAACAAAGTCGCTGCTGCTGGTACGTAGAGTGTGCTGAACACATTGGGGTCTAGGCAGAGGCCAGAGATACACTGGGTGATTCTGCCATTAGTTGATACAAGGCTGCCCGGTATAGAATGAAACTCTAAATGTGTCTTCATCTTCTTCCATGGTCAACAGTGGAAGCTATCAGTTGCAAGGGAAAAATGCTTAAAAGGATTAGAATAATATACCCCAAAAGATCAGTGGAAATCAGTGCTTTATTTGAGGACATGTGTGGGAGAGTGTCTGGGTATGAGAATTTGACTAGTCAAATGTGGAAGTGTTTGTCGGTATGAACTTTCCAAAGCAGTTTTGTTACCAGGAATGTAGGAAATCTCTCATAGCTTTGAACAGGCCCAGAGAAGGAGGATCAAGTCGAGATCTGGACTTGAGGTAGAGTTCAAAGACATCCAGCCCAAGACCCATCCCTTTCTTGGAGAGTTCTAGCCAGTGTTCTCACTCTGATCCCTCTTTACCCTCACCATTCATTTCCTTATAATTTTCCACATGCATGTAAATTCTCTATGCCATCTTTTTGTCCCTACCATACAAGCGGTGATAGTTTCTCTGACTTCTAAAACCCTAGATCAGTTATCCCTGTTTTTTTAAAATTCCATGTCAATAGGAGTGCACCATTTTTAGTCTGTGTCTAATTACATTCACTCATCATTCTATTGGTGAGATTAATCTATGTTCTGTGTGTACTTTATTTTATACACACAGATTTGATGAATGTCAATAATTTCTTTATTGATTATACATTGCTGAGTACTTGGGTTGCTTTGAATATGGGGCTACTCTAAAAAGGGGTGTTCTAGATATTCTATTGCATGTCTTTTGCTATCTGGACTGATTTCTGTTTGGCACTTGCTTGAGTTCAATTGCTATGTGGTAGTTTTCAGAGTTGATCTTCATCCCTTAGACCGCAGTATTTTATACCTGTATTTTCTAATGCAGTCACATGTCACTGTACCCTTACCCTTTCACATCCGGGCTGTACCCCTGTTTGCTTTGGATCTCAAAGCTAATATACTCTTTCTCTTACAATTTTTTATTGTTACAACCTCCAATGCTCTTCCTTAGATTTCACAAAGACACTAATTCTGTTAGTCTTAAGGAGAATATTCCTAATAATTACCTTGGACACCTAAATCATAACAACATTTACACACTCAAATCTGTAATCATGGGACATGCAGTCTACACACATGGGTATTAGCTGAACTGAAACAGACACAAAGCATACCTACCATTCTCACTCACACAAAATTCACCCCATATTCAGATTCAAAAACACAAAATCAATCATATGCTAAGCCTCTATCCTGTTTGAAGCAACATGTTAAGGAACTTATGCACACAAATCCCATTGCATCCATCACCACAGTTTGCTACAATATGCGCAAAATACACATACCAGACACATCCATAAGAGATGGTCATCATTTTGTTATGTTTATTTAATTTTGAGAGGGAGAGACAGAGCGCAAGCCAGGGAGGGGCAGGAGACACAGAAACAGAAGCTGGCTTCAGGCACACATCTGCACAGAGCCTGATGTGGTGCTCGAACTCACAACCCGTGAGATCATGACCTTAGCCGAATCGGATACATAACTGACTGAGCCACCAAGGCGCCCCAGAGATGATCATAATCTTAAACAGTTAGTGAGCCATGAGCTTGCTTAACTTGGAAACAGAGACACTGATGTGATAATAAAGAGTATGTACTTCAAAACTAAAAACCCATCAATTATTTCCTATGAGGTTATAAATCTCTAGGATGTGGAGTGCAGAGGGTCAACGTGTATCAAGTGGGAAGGAAGGAAAATGATAGCAAAAATCCTAAGCAGGTGAATGGATATGAGGAGCCCTAGGAGCAGGATCCAGATAGAACAGAATTCTGAAATATGCCAGTTTCCCGCCCAAGCTAAAGAAAACTGTTTAGGACAAAATAAGTATTTCTCTGGGTTGAGGGTGGGGTGGCAGTGGGGAGAGTCGGTTAGGGAGAAGAGTGTAGGAGAGAAACAGAATGGAACCAGCTAGTTTTATGACTTTTCTATCATTTTCTAGGAATCTCCAAGTCACCCACAAATGATCTACCACCTGAGTACTTTTTAGAAGACACCCCTGTGCTCTCTGAGGCAAAACATGCATCCTCTGAATTGGAATATTTATCCGGCAACTCGTCCTTCTACTGTCGCTCTTGTGCTGGTAAGGAGAAAGGAAGGGCACTTCAAGTCTCGGCACTCAGGGCAGTGAGAGTTTGAACAGATCTGTAGAGGTCCAGCTCATCTTGTCTGCTCCGACAATGGGGGAAAGGTACCCATTGGGTCCAGTTATCATCTTGCCCTCCTCTCTTATTTGGGAGTCTGGGTCTCTGTTTCTGTACCCTTAGTAGAAATTCATCCTAATCATTTTTCACTCCTGGGCAGTACAGAGGAAGTCTGTGCATTCATTTCAGGAAAAATATCATTTATCGAGGGAAGAAGTGAAATCTAAGGCACAGTATCCACAATTGCTGTGGCGTCACTTAAGCCTATAAGTTACAAATTAATATAACATGAAACCATCGTTTGTAGTCTTCTAGTAATACCTGATCACAGAAAATAGACAAAAGCTCCGGATCCTTAGTTATTGACGTTAAACAGTCTTCTCTATTAAATGACTTGCTAATTTGAGCTCACAATCAAAAACTCACAATACAAAACAGGGACCCTTGGGTGGCTCAGTTGGTTTGGCCACTGATTTCGGCTTAGGTCATGATCTCACAGTTTGTGTGTTCGAGCCTGCTTTGGATTTTGAGTCTCCCTCTCTCTCTCTCCCTCCCTGCTCACACTCTGTGTCTCACTTATTCTCTCTCCAAAAATAAACAAACATTAAGAAAATTAAAAAAAAAAGTAAACTACAAATCATGTACCTCTTAGTTAGCTTCTGCAAACATAGCAAATTCTTAAGTTTTAGCTTTAAAGATCAATTGATGTAACAGAGCTGTAGGGGTGGTAAATAAGAATGTTTAAAATTATCAAGAATGTAAAACCTTAAAACACTACCAGGAAAGAAGAAGATTACATAAAAGTGGTAGTTTTAGAAATGAGAAGTAACAGAGAGGAGGGGGCAAGATGGCGGAGAAGTAAGGAGCTCCGTACTTGCACTCGCGCCCATACATCATACAGAAAAGATCTGAAGCCATTGGAAACCTTACAAAACCTGAGAGATTGGGAGAAAAAGGACGCAGAATCCACTGAGAGAGCCTTCTAACCAGACTCGGGCTCAGAGCACCCGGCAGGCAAGCCCCCGCCCATGCGTGCCAGCCTGACCCAGAGAAGGAAGCAGCAATTCTGACTCCGCCCCCAGAGCTCAGCAGGGAGCCTGGAATTGCCCGAGGGGGT